TTCGGAATGTAATTAAGAATGGCAGTCATCAGGAACAGTGGAAGTTAAAGCAAGATCTGGAAGACCAAGAAAAATATCAGACAGAACAGCTCGCAGGATTGTGAGAAAAACAATTCAAAACCCACGTTTGACTGCACGATCCCTCCAGAAAGATCTGGCAGACACTGGAGTTGTGGTACACTATTCCACTATAAAGAGATATTTGTACAAATATGGTCTTCATGGAAGAGTCATCAGAAGAAAACCTCTTCTACGTCCTCACCACAAAAATCATCGTTTGAACTTTGCAAATGAACATATAGACAAGCCTGATGCATTTTGGAAACAAGTTCTGTGGACCGATGAGGTTAAAATTGAACTTTTTGGCCGGAATGAGCAAAGGTACGTTTGGAGAAGGGGCACAGAATTTAATGAAAATAACCTCTGTCCAACTGTTAAGCATGGGGTTGGATCAATCATGCTTTGGGGTTGTGTTGCAGCCAGTGGCACAGGGAACATCTCATGAGTAGAAGGAAAAATGGATTCAATAAAATTTCAGCAAATTTTGGATGGTAACTTGATGCCATCTGTGAAAAACCTGAAGTTAAAGAGAGGATGGCGTCTACAAATTGATAATGATCCTAAACACACCTCGAAATCCATGGGGGATTACATCAAGAGGCGTAAACTGAAGGTTTTGCCATGGTCTTCACAATCTCCTGACCTCAACATAATTGAAAATCTATGGATAGACCTTAAAAGAGCAGTGCGTGACAGACAGCCCAGAAATCTCAAAGAACTGGAAGACTTTTGTAAGGAAGAATGGGCAAAGATACCTCAAACAAGAATTGAAAGACTCTTGGCTGGCTACAAAAAGCGTTTACAAGCTGTGATACTTGCCAAAGGGGGCAGTACAAGATATTACTCTGCAGGGTGCCCAAACTTTTGCAGACGCCATTTTTTTGTTTTCTGTTATTTTGAAAGTGTAAATGATGGAAATAAAATCTAACTTTTGTTGACATATTATAAGAATGTCTAATCTGTAATTTGATGCCTTTTGGAGATTTTTCCATCTTTCCTTGGCTTCTTTATGCACATTAATACACATTTTTAGCTGGGGTGCCCAAACTTTCTATCCCCACTGTACATAATGCACCTATGCAACAGCATACCACAATGTGCTTTTAGCGCACTGCCGGGAAAAATATTGCAGGAGAAAATTTCTTCCTGCATTGATGAGATTTCGCTTTTGTTCCTGTTCTGTCGCCCAACACCTGGACAGAAAATGGGGGGAAATTTCCCTAATGGGACACAAACAGCAATAAAATTCTGATGGAGGCTATAAAACCTTCCTTTCTGTTAGAAATGTTATATTTTCCCTCACTTTGACCCCTGATTAGGTACGCAGGCACTTGACAGAACCTAACCTTTAAACACTGTCCAAAAATAAAAATGCCTGGAGTTTGACTTTAACAGGTTACATCAAAAGTACCAGAATGCATCTGTAACACATGATTAACATGTTCACTGGTGAGGCTGGGCAGTCGTTTATAAAAAAAATGTAAAAAAATCTATATAAGAATAACAGTGTGTGTATGTATATGTATATGTATATATATATATATATATATATACAGTTGTGTTCAAATTAATAGTAGTCAGACATCACTAACCTGATCAATCACTGTTTTTGGTAGAAATTATATTTCTACATGGCAAATAATTTACTAGCAGGTGTAGTAGAGTAATAGAAATCCAACAGACCCAACAGTCATGACATGCATGCTGCTGATTCTGTGTAATTGATTCACTAATTGAAAGGGGCATGTTCAAAATAATAGCAGGGTGGAGTTCTATTAGTGAGGTCATTCATTCTTTGAAAAACAGGTGGCAATTATTGCTCTTATTTAAGGAAGGAAGGCAGCAAATGTTGTACATGCTGGTTGCAGTGCATTTCTCTCTGAAATTCTGAGGAAAATGGGTCGTTCCAGACATTGTTCAGAAGAACAGCGTACATTGATTAAAAAGTTGATTGGAGAGGGGAAAACATTTAAAGAAGTGCAGAAAATGATAGGCTGCTCAGCTAAAATGATCGCAAATGCTTTAAAATGGCAACCAAAACCTGAAAAACGTGTAAGAAAGTGAAAAACTACCATTCAAATGAATAGAAGAATAGCCAAAATGGCAAGGACTCAGCCAACAATCAGCTCCAGGAAGATCAAAGAAGGTGTAAAGTTACCTGTGAGTACTGTTACAATTAGAAGACGCCTATGTGAAGCCAAGCTATCTGCAAGAAGCCCCCGCAAAGTCCCACTGTTGAAAAAAAGACGTGCTGAAGAGGTTACAATTTGCCAAAGAGCACATTGACTGGCCTAAAGAGAAATGGCGCAACATTTTGTGGACTGATGAAAGTAAGATTGTTCTCTTTGGCTCTAGCGCCCGGAGACAGTTTGTCAGACAACCCCCAAACACTGAATTCAAGCCACAGTACACTGTGAAGACAGTGAAGCATGGTTGCGCAAGCATCATGATATGGGGATGTTTCTCATACTACAGTGTTGGGCCTATTTATCGCATACCAGGGATCATGGATCAGTTTGAATACATCAGAATACTTTTAGAGGTCATGCTGCCTTATACTGAAGAGGAAATGCCCTTGAAATGGGTGTTCCAACAAGACAACGACCCCAAACACAGCAGTAAACGTGCAACATCTTGGTTCCAGACCAACAAGATTGACGTTATGGAGTGGCCAGCCCAATCCCTGGATCTTAATCCAATAGAAAACTTGTAGGGTGACATCAAAAATGCATTTTCTGAGGCAAAACCAAGAAATAGAGAAGAACTGTGGAATGTAGTCCAATCATCCTGGGCTGGAATACCTGTTCACAGGTGCCAGAAGTTGATTGACTCCATGCAACACAGATGTACAGCAGTTCTCAGAAACAGTGCTTATACAACTAAATATTAAGTGATTCAAAGGAAAGCAAAATCTTCAAACATTTTTCAGTTTATATAGTGAATGTTTGAGTTTGTAAAGAAGAATACAAACACTGCTATTTTTTTGAACAGTCTAATATTCACTTTTCTTCAATTTTTTTACAGGAACAACACAAATTTGATATATTTTTCTTCATGTTTTGATTTGGAATAGAATGTGTCGTGTTCCCAATGCATTTGTGTGTATGGAAATAAAAGCTATTAGAAGGATTTTGAGCTTTATTCACTTTTTTCAACACACTGCTATTATTTTGAACACAACTGTGTGTGTGTGTGTGTATATATATATATATATATATATATATATATATATATATATATATATATATATACATACACAGTCAGGTCCATAAATATTGGGACATCGACAAAATTCTAACATTTTTGGCTCTATACACCACCACAATGGATTTGAAATGAAATGAACAAGATGTGCTTTAACTGCAGACTGTCAGCTTTAATTTGAGGGTATGTACAGCCAAATCAGGTGAACGGTGTAGGAATTACAACAGTTTGCATATGTGCCTCCCACTTGTTAAGGGACCAAAAGTAATGGGACAATTGGCTTCTCAGCTGTTCTATGGCCAGGTGTGTGTTATTCTCTCATTATACCAATTACAATGAGCAGATAAAAGGTCCAGAGTTCATTTCAAGTGTGCTTTTTGCATTTGGAATCTGTTGCTGTCAACTCTCAAGATGAGATCCAAAGAGCTGTCACTATCAGTGAAGCAAGCCATCATTAGGCTGAAAAAACAAAACAAACCCATCAGAGAGATAGCAAAAACATTAGGCGTGGCCAAAACAACTGTTTGGAACATTCTCAAAAAGAAGGAACACACCGGTGAGCTCAGCAACACCAAAAGACCCGGAAGACCACGGAAAACAACTGTGGTGGATGACCGAAGAATTCTTTCCCTGGTGAAGAAAACACCCTTCACAACAGTTGGCCAGTTCAAGAACACTCTCCAGGAGGTAGGTGTATGTGTGTCAAAGTCAACAATCAAGAGAAGACTTCACCAGAGTGAATACAGGGGGTTCACCACAAGATGTAAACCATTGCTGAGCCTCAAAAACAGGAAGGCCAGATTAGAGTTTGCCAAACGACATCTAAAAAAGCCTTCACAGTTCTGGAACATCATCCTATGGACAGATGAGACCAAGATCAACTTGTACCAGAGTGATGGGAAGAGAAGAGTATGGAGAAGGAAAGGAACTGCTCATGATCCTAAGCATACCACCTCATCAGTGAAGCATGGCGGTGGTAGTGTCATGGCGTAGGCATGTATGGCTGCCAATGGAACTGCTTCTTTTGTATTTATTGATGATGTGACTGCTGACAAAAGCAGCAGGATGAATTCTGAAGTGTTTCGGGCAATATTATCTGCTCATATTCAGCCAAATGCTTCAGAACTCATTGGACGCGGCTTCACAGTGCAGATGGACAATGACCCAAAGCATACTGCAAAAGCAACCAAAGAGTTTTTTAAGGGAAAGAAGTGGAATGTTTTGCAATGGCCAAGTCAATCACCTGACCTGAATCCGATTGAGCATGCATTTCACTTGCTGAAGACAAAACTGAAGGGAAAATGCCCCAAGAACAAGCAGGAGCCGAAAACAGTTGCAGTAGAGGCCTGGCAAAGCATCACCAGGGATGAAACCCAGCGTCTGGTAATGTCTATACGTTCCAGACTTCAGGCTGTAATTGACTGCAAAGGATTTGCAACCAAGTATTAAAAAGTGAAAGTTTGATTTATGATTATTATTCTGTCCCATTACTTTTGGTCCCTTAACAAGTGGGAGGCACATATGCAAACTGTTGTAATTCCTACACCGTTCACCTGATTTGGATGTAAATACCCTCAAATTAAAGCCGACAGTCTGCAGTTAAAGCACATCTTGTTCATTTCATATCCATTGTCGTGGTGTATAGAGCCAAAAATGTTAGAATTGTGTCTATGTCCCAATATTTATGGACCTGACTGTATATATGGAGCACTAATATTTTCCATTAAAGCCTAACATTAAAATATTTTCTTTTTGTATGGAGATCGGCACAAAGGACAGAAGGGGCATTTTCCAGCTGAGAAGTCCTCAAAGGCCTGAAGACAAGCATGATGAAAAACATGTGAGCAGGACAGAAGGACAATGGGTCGAGATGAGGACATTCCTCTATGGTCTTCATTGTAATTCAATGCTGTGATACATATTGGACAGTCGGATATTTCCTGATGAACAGCCTACAGGACAAAATGTCACTTTGTCATATCTATAACATGTAATACTGTATACACAGTGTAATCAACTAAAGCACAGAGTGTTTTTCATCATTCATGTACCCCTTTAAAAACAGATATCTGGTCATCTGAAGATATGTAACATTTGCTTGGGTTACAAAAGAGGACCTATTAGAACAGAAATATTGGCTATCTGCAGTTGCTGATCCTTTTTTTTTTTTTAAAGATGCAAGGTCCACAGTCAGTTATCCCAGTTCACTACTTAGTCACTGCACAGGGACAAGCATACTATCAGGGAAGTGACAGAATTTCTGACCTACAAATTGTACAACACTATTTTTGTTATTTTGGATTCTAACCCACATATGGTAAGGGACTCCAGGGTTTGTGTCTGGTATGAAAAAAACATGAATTTTGTCTTACCTGTAAAGTCACAGGGCAGTATTCAGGAACATATGGTTAGGCTGCTGCCTTTAGAAAATCTGACATTAGCAAAGACAAAGATGTAAGAACAGACCAATATAACCCTGCCCACTCCCAGCTACCTTCAGTTTTGTAGCAAGCAATTGGAGTGGTTCAGAAGAACAGAGGGGAGTAAGCTGTGTCCTGTAATGCATTCTAAGAAAAGAATTTTACAGGTAAGACAAAAATCCTATTTTCTTAATTACACATTACAGGAAACAGAACAGTATTCAGGAACATAGGAATGGCCAAAAACAATGTGACTGAGGGCTGGGCAACACAGCAAGGTTAACAGGCCCACAGCAAAAAAAAAAAAAAAAAACAGCAAGGTAATAGAGGTGGTTCAACATAGTCACCTTGGAGAACTAAGAAACAGAAGCCTGATGTAAAAAAAACCCACAAAGCACTAACTTATCTGTCTGAATGAGCATTCACAGGGAAACAAGGATCTTTGCCCTTGAAGTCCTAAGACTGAGAAAAGTTGTCAAATCCACAAGAGTCATATTGTCAAAAGGGGGCTGTTGACATTAGGTAGACTTGAACAGTGAATACTCCATCTGAACTGTGAAGTAAGATCTCCTTAAGATGTTTCAGAGTAAGACAGAAGATGGAAGAACAATGTCCTGGTTAAGGTGAAAGGAAGGCTTGGGCATTAAAAAAAGCCTTGTGTTTGTCTAACACAAGAAAAGGTTCTTTACAGATTAAGGCCACCAACTCCAAGACATGTCTTGGTGAAGTGATGGCAACAAGAAAGGTAACCTCACAAGTAAAGATGGTCAGAGAAATATCCCTAATGGGCTGAAAGAGAGGTTTCTGCAGAACCAGATTGAGACCTCTAAGATGATTATCTTAGCTTTAAAAACAGAAGGATAATGGACTCCCAACACGTGCTTGTCCATAAGTACCTGGATAACAGCAACCAGGCCATTAAGGTCAGCATCCGAGAAAAAAGGTAGCAACCCATTCCTTGAAACAGAAGATCTGTGCAGTTTGGGAAGGCCCATGGAGAGTTTGCCAAAGAATCTGATGAGGTCTGAGTACCACATCCTCCTGGGCCAGTTCAATGCTATGAAAATGACCAGAAAATCATCCACCTCAGTCCTGTGAAGCTGAAAAGAGAGGAGTTTTAGTGGAAGGAAGGCGTAGGTAGATCAGGCTGAAAGTGGTTCTAAACGTGGAAAATCAAATACAAACAGAACACAAATTAAATACAGAATAAGGGCACAAGGGCTGATTAAAAAAAACCTGACACCATAAAAAATGGTGGAGCCACACCCCTTCTTCTTTGACAGCCTGTGTAATGAGACACATGCCCAAGCCTGTATGAAGGGGTAGTGTCTGCTGCTGCTCTGTACCTTGCTGTCAGCTGTGACTGAGATCAGAGCTGAGTTTACTATCATTTTCTTCTCTCCTCCCCTCCGGACATCTAGGTACAGAGTCAGCGGAGTGTACAGAGAGAGAGGAATCAGAGAATGCATAGAGAGACTCTGTGATTAGTGTGATATTAGGTCTCCGCCCCCCATGCTTTGGTGCCCACAGATCGGCAGATTTGAGGGTTACAACCAAATGCGGATGAAATTTTGAGAGGTACACACAATGTGAATTCGGTTATAACAACATTATCTACTAAACTGTGCAAAAGAATGGGGCTTTGGGTTTACAACCATTGAAACTGATCCTGCAGATTCATCACAGCATCCACTGTGAAGACTAGAGGATCCCAGGATCTGGAGAAAATCCTGTCCAGTTTGTTGTTGAACCTGGAGGCCAGGAGGTCCATGCAGAGAAATCCAGGCTTTGATGACTGCGGAAGTCCACCTGCCAATTCTTCACCCCTGGGATATGCACGGCAGACAGGGCCAGAGCACTGAGTTTCATTCAGGCCAGAATCCGATCCACTACCCTTTTAAGCAAGGGAGACTTCTGGTTCCTCCCTCATTGTTCAGGTAAGCCACTGTTGTAGAATTGTGCAAATAACTCTAGTCGGACAGCTGGACAGCCTTACAGATGAGAGGTCTAGAGCACTGATCAAAAAACGTATTTCCTCTGGAGCCCAGTTCCTCTATGCTGAGAGGGTATCAAGGACTAGTGTCGTAAGGACCTGCCAAAACAGATGGAGGTAAGATTTTCCTGACTCCAGCACTGAGCTTGTCGTCTTCCATGTCAGGGTAAGCTGATATGGCTGCTCAAGTGAATAGCATGGTCCAGAGACTGTACCTTCTTGTCCTACTGCCAAAATGTTGAGTAACTGCAGTCTGCAGAGTGGAGTGGTAGGCTGACTGTTTAACTGCTGCATCTGAATCTGGGAACACAGAACCAGAAGCTCTCCTTAGGGAAGAACACTGGGCCTTGTCCAGGATCAGGTGTAGATACTCTAAATGCTGAGACCAATCCAGTGTCCACTTCTAGAGGTTTAGGATCAATTCGACTATCCTCGGGGTCTGGATTCTCCAGTGGACATTGGCTGAGAGAATATTTGTCAACTGTCCTGAAAAAAGAAAATTGTCAAGATAACCTACTATGGGGATGCCCTGAGAATAAAGCAGAGCTGGTACAAGGGCCAGTACCTTGAGGGAGAATCCAAAACACAGTGAACGAACAAAAAGGGAGGGCAATAATTTGGAAATGTTGTTCACCCTTAGCAAAATGCAGAATATCTTGATGTGCTGGGAAGATGGGGACATGCAAATCACCATCCTTGATGTTTATCAAGGCAATCAAAATTCCTGGGATGAAGGGAGACAGTGAGAAACCTGACATATTCCATCTGGAATTTCTGCATCCAGAGAAAGGTATTGAGAACCTTTAGGGGGTTACTAACTGAGCAGTCTGCTGGAACAGGAAGGGTTAACTGCCAAATGTGAGCATTGTATGAGGCAGCAGAGAGCAAATGTCCCTATGGTGGTGTGGAGCCACGGGAAGGAACACAATCAGGTGCTGCATCTACTGGAGAAAGACGCATACATGGGCAGTATGCTCATCTAAATGGAGATTATGCAGGCTCAGCACAAAATTAAAAAGATGGTTGCAGCCCTCAACTCCCACAGCCTGAGTGTAACTCAATGTTTCACAGCTGGCACAATCGCATTTACCCCTTAGGGGACTGAAAAAGAGACCTTTTAGCCCATAAGGACACAAGTCCCTGGCTTACTGCACATCTTGTCCAGCAGAAATTCACCAGGCAGAAAGGTGGGGAAGAAGGCATATACCCCCACATGATTTTTGCCTTCCTCATGGACATACCACCTAAAGGGTCTTCAGGGACAGGCCTCCACCAGATGGGTGGATAACAGTCCTGGGCCTGTAAATCACTCTGCATTTGCCTCATCATGTTGTACCATGTGCTTAGGTGAGAGACCAGTGCTAAAAGACACACTACAGACTGGCCACACATCTTGCTAATGGAAGGTACTGCCATAAGGATATGCCAAGAATTAGCTGATCTTAAAAATTTCACAACAGAGTGCCAGAGACTCTGCAGCAACTGAAGAAACTTCTAGAAGAAAAAAAAAATATCTTAATAAAAAAAAAGTGGGTGGCTTCTTTTGAAGCAGAAAGAAGATGCCCTCTCTACTAGGACACTAGCGAAAAACTAGTGTGGGAATGATTATACTGGGATGTCCCTATAGCTTTTTTTTTACCAGTGTCCAATATCCTAAAAGTAGCAGCATAACCCTATGTTCCTGAATATTGTCCTGTGTTTTCTAATGTACAACTAGGAAACAAACTTTTTGTTTCTTAGAATTTTAAGTCCTGAGGTCTGGAGGCTTTGTAGGACTTTATGTGGGAAAAGCCTACATCAACTGGTCCACAAGAAGCTCAGCAATGGCAGCTGCCATTTCGCTCTTAAGACTCATTCAAATATGTCAAATTCCAGGTATAACTTGTGTGTTAGGAGACAAACTAAGAGTTAATGTAAAAGTCCTGTTGTTTTAGAGTTTACCTTAGGGGCTATGCGGAACTCTTTCTTTTAAGGCTCAGTATTTGTGGAACATATGAACCAAAATTGCATCTACACATTTAAGCTAAAGCTCTGAGGCTGTCAGTATGTTTACATTATATATAATTTGAAAACCTCTGAGCTACCATAAATGGGTGCACACAGATAGAAACATTAATGATGGAATTAGTGAATTTCTATGGAAAACTTGCAGATACAGTAGCAGATGATTACAGCTCACCTGTATTTGTATCCTCTCCCAGTCTGCATCACTGATGCTTCTGTTGAAGTTTTCTTCTAACTGACAGAAGACACTACGACTTGCAGCAACTGACAGGTCAATCTCGCTGAACAGCACATCAATGTCTGTGCTGCAGGATCTTAACAAGCGGTCAGATATTTCTGTAAACTGTAACAAAAAGGTAAAAGATATTTAAACATTACAAAATATTGCTGCTTTAATTTATTGGCAATATTTTTTGCTATAGGCACAATATATAGGACACCACCCCAGCTTCTGAGTTTTTGCATCCTATGTGTTCATTGGATACATACATGCCTGAACCTGGAGCCAGAGTGCATTCATTAAGTTACTTCATCTACCACACAAGTCATTTTATCTAATAAATCAATAGAATACTGCAGAGGTAAAATTCTTACTTTCTGAAAACATTGTACCTGATTCAAGCTTCATGTTCATGTCTGTCGGTGGCCAGCCACCGGTTACACCCTCCACACACATTTGTCACTTCCCGTAGTTTGTCTCTCTGAGCACTGAGGGCAGATAGACCATCCCACGTAAGAGCCATTTTGCAGTGGGAGGAGAACAGTGAAAAAACTGTTGTTACCATGTTCAGAGGTAAGTTACCTTTTTTTTTATAAAATGGTTTGTCAATTATTATACCCACATTAGCTTCAACCTGATATCTCAGGTTGTCTAAAAGAATCATAACAATTCATTCTGAAGCAAGAAGTTATGTAATAACTATGAATGTTGTTATACTAACTTTACTTCAAATAAAATTTCTGTAGAGAAAGGCTTTGGCAATAAGACTTGCTATTCACTACATATGTTGCTTTTGATGGGCATAGACTATACATGCACCTTAACAAAAATAGTGGTGTCTCCACTCCAAGCCTGCTGACTGGACAGTGAAAGATCAGCAAAATTCTCATCAGCTCATCCTTTTGCTCTCTACTATCATCAGGTTCCTTGTCTACAAATGTATGTACAGTGTAACTGATTGACTACCAGTTCTACTCCACAATCCCTCATTCTGTGCTCTGCTATACAGAGGATTGGAAGAAGCTGATACCAATTTAGATTCAGGCACATCCACTAGCTGCATTTAATAAAATATATTGTATAAATGAATACAAAGATGCATTAATCTGTGTCCTTTATATCTGGAGTTTATTTTTAAGGATGGCTTCCACCAGATGCACCAGACTGCAGTATAAATATGATAAAGCTCTATATTGTGTGACAAATTGACATCACTTTACTATGAACCAAAAACCCTTAGGGCCTATTCACACTATGTGCAGTTACCTGAGATTTTTCTTCATGGATAAACGCAGGTAACTGCAATGACACACAGAAAACAATAGTTTGCTGTTTTTCATGTTTAGACCAGAACACAGGTTGATTTTCTAAAACTAGAGAGTGTGAAATGTGGTGCAGCTGTGTATGGTAGCCAATCAGCTTCTAACTTCAGCTTGTTCAATTAGGCTTTGACAAAAAAAAAAAAATGGACGCTGATTGGTTTCTATTCAGATTTGCACCAGATTTGACACTCACCAAATTTAATAAATCAAACCTGCAGTGTTTCTCTGTGTTCCAGAGCTGTGCGATATTATGCAGCATGTCTGCATAAAACTTACATATGCACTCTGTTTGTATGGTCTGGTAGTGTTGGATGAGAAGACCTGGCTCACAATGTGTTCCAAATCATCCAAAGGTGTTCAGTAGGGTTAAGGTCAGGGCTCTGCAGGCCACTTGAGTTCCTCCAAACCCATCTCATCAAGCTATGTTGCTGCACAGGGGCACAGTCGTGCTGGAACAGAAAAGGGCCTTCCCCAAACTGTTGCCATGAAAAGAGGATTTGCACAGTTGTCCAAATATCTGTGTATGCTTTAACATTAAAGTACCTTTCTTTGGGAACATCTGAACTCAAAAAATTTGGAGGTCTGTCCACATATATTTGGTGCTACAGCTAGGTATATTGCTCAAGTGCCCTCAAAAGTTTTCATATACAGTATATATACTTACAAATAGAAAAAAAAATACATTACAATACAAAAACAAAATTTAAACAAGCAGATCTCCTTCATATGTAGGTCTAAAAAAAATAATAAAAACACTACAGTTCCCCTTTAAGCTTGGATGACTGCTGATTAATCATTTACGTGGCTTTTGGATACATTTTTCATCGTGCAGAAAACATTTCTATTATGCTAAATTAATTAACCTGTCATTCCAGTTCAAACGTAACACACACACCAAAAGAAAAAATTTAAGTCACTTCAAGATAGCACTGATAGAGAATTTCCATTAGACACAGCGCACAGTCTTGGGACTTAGAGTTGTGTTTGCTTAGGAGAAGATTGCACCTCTTATTCCTGCAACCAACCTATAGCAGCGGTATTGTGTTCATGTGAAGAAAGCAAGGGCCTATTCTCTACCTAGACAGATCTGGACAGCTTTTATAAATTGAAGCCATAATGTAAACCAATTAACAAGTCACATATGCCTTTTATATTTAGTTTCTAATTTATCTTTGCTAAAAGTTCTTTTGTTGCTCAAGATAAACAGACAGGCAAAGCTGTACTGGTCATGTATGTCATGCAGATGAATGGCTAGCTAAGGTGTGTCTTTTCACTGATTAACCACAATAAAATATATATGGGGGGATCAACAGGACTCCTTGTTCCATAGGATTAGAGGTAGAATGTCAGCCGTGAAATAATATTTACATTTTAAGATTTCTACCTTTAAAAAAAAAATCTCTATTTTTAGTCACGTTTGCTAGATTTTTAAACTTCTGCATGTTCTGAAATTGTAATGCATTTTTAACTTGAAAAAAAAAAAAACATTTTTAAATTAATAATTTAATATAGGGTACATCAGTTTGCAAAGACTGCTGAGCTGAAGGCCCTGTCATATATACATATACAGTATAGAGCATATAGCTCAGGGGTACTGAATTAAAATTCTTGGAGGTTCGGTCAGTAAGACTTTCTTCCAGCGGAGGTCCAAGTTTCATGATTGTGCAATGACTGAGATTCTTCACATCACAGTCTCCCGTACATATCACAGTCCTCTCCCCCTCTTGCCTTCAAGGTCCAAACATCCTGACCCTTATGGTAAAATGTAGGGTTGTACTGTGTGGGCACCTGTTAGTGTGAGGTCCAGGAACAGGTGTGGTGGTGCACACTTTTTCTTTCAACTCTACTGAAATGTAAAAATTACATTGCATCCATTTTTATGCACCGCAGCTCAGCTGTGGTGCATACAAACAGACTGTACATGGAGTCTTCAGATGAGCTCCTGTTCATTGCAGAAAAATGCACACAGTATGCATTTCGTACTGCACTACTCAGCACCCAGGGGCACTGTCACAGTGTGAACGGGGCTCATAGAATACAATTTTTTTCTACTGCCCCTGCAGAGACCTGTGTTTTTGTAGTGCAGAAAAACATAGATCTCTGCACAAGTGTGAACAAGCCCTTACATTAGTGTCCTCAGTCCCCTCTATACATCACAGTCTCCCCTTCACATCAGTGACCCCCCCCCATTTCACTTCACAGTCTCCCTCTTTACATCCTTCCTAGACCCCACTTCACATGACATCCTTCCCCTTTTACATCACAGACCACCAATCACAGACTGCCCCATCACAGACCCTCCATCATCGACCTCCCTATCACAGACCAAACCCTGATGGGCTGGCAAATTTGTTCATTGATTTGTGAAGTTTTCTGTCTCCAGCTGGTTGTTGCTGCAGCATCTGCTATCTTGAAGCCTACTCCAGCAACATGTGCAATGGGAATATTGACATTGCAGAGTTACCTTGTCACATAGGCCTCCAACAGAGACTACAAGTGGTCGTTTCACCACACTTTACAAAGACAGTCCACTGTTTAATTTACAAGAAAACCTGTCCTAGGAAACATTATTCAACCATCCCTGGAATGCATGCATGTAGACAGGAAGGAGGAGATCTATATAATATACAGGTGAAACTCAAGAAATTAGAATATCATGCAGAAGTTCATTTATTTCAGTAATGCAACTTAAAAGGTGAAACTAATATATGAGATAGACTCATTACATGCAAAGCAAGATAGTTCAAGCTGTGATTTGTCATAATTGTGATGATTATGGCTTACAGCTCATAAAAACCCCAAATCCACAATATTAGAAAATTAGAATATTGTGAAAAGGTGCAATATTCTCGGCTCAAAGTGTCCCACTCTAATCCGCTAATTAAGCCATAACACCTGCAAAGGGTTCCTGAGCCTTTAAATGGTCTCTCAGTCTGGTTCAGTAGGAATCACAATCATGGGAAAGACTTCTGACCTGACAGTTGTGCAAAAAAAAAACATCACTGACACCCTCCATAAGGGAGGGAAAGCCTCAAAGATAATTGCAAAAGAAGTTGGATGTTCCCAAAGTGCTGTATCAAAGCACATTAATAGAAAGTTATGTGGAAGGGAAAAGTGTGGAAGAAAAAGATGCACAAGCAGCAGGGATGACCACAGCCTGGAGAGGATTGTCAGGAAAAGGCCATTCAAAAGTGTTGGGGACTTTCACAAGGAGTGGACTGAGGCTGGAGTCAGTGCATCAAGAGCCACCACACACAGACAGATTCTGGACATGGGCTTCAAATGTCGTATTCCTCTTGTCAAGCAGCTACTGAACAACAAACAACGTCAGAAGCGTCTTACCTGGGCTAAAGAAAAACAGACCTGGTCTGTTGCTCAGTGGACCAAAGTCCTCTTTTCTGATTAGAGCAACTTTTGCATCTCATTTGGAAACCAAGGACCCAGAATATGGAGGAAGAATGGAGAGGCACACACTGCAAGATGCTTGAAGTCCAGTGTAAAGTTTCCACAGTCTGTGTTGATTTGCCATGTCATCTACTGGTGTTGGTCCACTGTGCTTCAAGTCCAGGGTCAACGCAGCCGTCTACCAGGAGATTTTGGAGCACTTCATGTTTCCTTTCGCAGACGAGCTTTATGGGGATGCTGACTTCATTTTCCAGCAGGACTTGGCACCTGCCCACACTGGCAAAAGCACCAAAACCTGGTTCAATGACTGTGGGATTATTGTGCTTGATTGGCCAGTAAACTCGCCTGACCTGAACTCCATAGAGAATCTATGGGGCATTGCCAAGAGAAAGATGA